TTTGAAGTCTGCAGTTTGAAAATTATACGCTTGGTGCTAATTTGACAGGTAAATTAAGCCTATCGGTATAATCGAGTTTGTCTACTGTTAGATCAACCGTCTATTATTAGATCTATTATTATAGCATAATTAACGTATTGGCGTATTGCCGTGTTTAGGGCAGCTGCGTTTTCCCAGTTACATTTAGCAGAATGATGCGGGCTGTTCAATTATCTCGGGTTACTTTTCCAATAACAGAATTGAACTCTCAGGAGTTTCTTGTGTTACTTTATCGATACTACAGTAAATTTAAAAGTACAGTGCTCCTTGCATGCCTTGCAATCTTTATATTATACAGGGTGATTGGTACAGGGTAGTGGTACAAGCGGAAAGGGGGTGATTCTATGCGACGGGAGCCAACCACGTTAAATTATAAAAACGTTGCTATGGAAGATTTTCTTCCTTTAAACGTGTCATGGAGGGACGTGTCTCATTCCATAGATGATCGTGTCCTTCTCACAGAGGAAGACGAACGACGATGGAACACACCACCGGAGCTCATACCGGAGCAACTCATCAAGACATCCGATGTAAAAAGCGGACGATCGTTGTCTATTCCAATCACGACGAATATCAACGTAAACGCGGGAAACAATGCACATTCTTTGGGTTTTCAACTAGTCCCTGAAGGCGTTAGCTACTCTGAAAGCAACAGCTTCGATCATCCATTGTCGGCGGCCAGTGGGTACGTTCTCGCGATCAGTCACGTATCAGGGATAGTCTCTAAAACTAAACGATTCGTGTTAAAATATTAAATAACTGTCGAACTGTTCTGTAACACGTAACGATGAATTGATTAACTATCCACAAATCCAACGTTGCGCATTATTGGAAACCCTAAATAAAGTAATTTATACAGGGCGGTTGGTAATTGGTGGTACAAGCGGAAAGGAGGTGATTCTACGCGAAAAATGAAGTCGAAAATATAGAATAAAAATTTTTCGTTTGAGGCTTTGTTTTCGAGAAAATCGACTTTGAATTTTGGCTCGGTACGCGTGCACTTTATCACGTCTCGTTATAACGGATCTCACTGTAGATCGTTGTCTCGATGGAAAAATTTAAAAAAAATTAAAAAAGAAATTTTTATTCTATATTTTCGACTTCTTTCTTCGCGTAGAATCACCCTCTTTCCGCTTGTACCACCAATTACCAACCACCCTGTATACAGTATACACAATGAATAATTATAAACTCAACGCTATTTTGTGATTCGTCATAATATTAAAACAGAAACTGACGAAACCGCTTATGTAATTTTACATTACAATATAATGCAAAACTGAAGATGCAACAAACCGAAGCTTTCTTCTTTCGAAGCTTGCAAACAATGAAATTTTCTTCGAAAATTGTGTTTTCGCTTGTGAAAATATAAACTCAACGACGTTGATTTTGTTACGTTCTCATTCGATATTTAATGGATTTTCCTTTATCTTTGATTACTTTTATTAACCCAATTATCAGGCACATTATCCACCAACTTATTTAAACTCTCGTTTCGAATATCCAGCCACGCGGATTTTATTCCTTTTTTAAGTTCAACCGTATTTTCTACAAATGGCTTCTCTTGGTCGTAAAGCTTTCTCGCTGGAATTTCCCATAGGTTCTCGATCGAGTTCAGGTCAGCACTCAGTGCTGGCCATAATTCTATCGCGAAATTTTGGAACCACTTTCCTGTAACAAAAATTCTCTTTTGTCTTCTATTTCGGTTACGAAAGGCAATAGCTCGCCATGTAACATCTTCTGACATCCCACAGCGATCAATCTACCTTTCCAAAAACAATGTCACTTGCCATATCCAGACACTATCACTGGTTTCTTGAAAATAAGAACAAAAGTTTGAACAAATAAAGAAGAAAAGAAAAAGAATTTCGGTTACGAAAGGCAATAGCTCACCATGTAACATCTCCTGATATCCCACAGCTATCAATCTACCTTTCCAAAAACAATTTCACTTGCCATATCCAGACACTATCACTGGTTTCTTGGAAATAAGAACAAAAGTTTGAACAAATAAAGAAGAAAAGAAAAAGAATTTCGGTTACGAAAGGCAATAGCTCACCATGTAACATCTCCTGATATCCCACAGCGATCAATCTACCTTTCCAAAAACAATGTCACTTGCCATATCCAGACACTATCACTGGTTTCTTGGAAATAAGAACAAAGGTTTGAACAAATAAAGAAGAAAATGTGTCTGAGTGTGCAAGCATTCACATCACTGTGAATGTAAAAATATAGTATTATAAACATTGCATTATAAAAAAAATATGTTCCAAACGTATTAATATATCTCTCACAAGAATGAGCAATGCTTTCTCGCAGATGTCGAAGAAATAATACCGAAAGTGTATTCGAGTCCGTAATTGTTCGCAGCACTGTACGATATCTTTGTATCATAAACGATACCGTTAAATGTATGCAAGCTTGTCTCTTCGCTGCACCAAAAGCGTCAGAAATAAAGTTTCTGCACGAAGCTGTTCCGCAGCATTCCTTGCCTGTCCTTCGATTCATTTAATGGATGTCTGTGAAGCGAATTGTACGAAACGGTGGGCAGCGTGTTAGAAACATGGTGAAACAGAAAGAAGCTTCACAGGATGGGAGATTTTGTCACATTGGCAGATTGTAATAAGGAAACGGCGATGGTTTCTCAGTTGGTAGATAAAGCGTGCCGCATTCGCAATTTTTCGCGGAAATCCGTTTCTACGCCGATGGCTTTTACCTTTCCTTTTATCAGCCGAGAGACGGCACGTAACAGTATTCGCATATAAATACCCGCATGCGCTGTGCCAGTGGTCGGTCCGTGTGAAACCTGTCGATAGATACTCGCGTCCACGAGCTTTCCGCTTTCATGATGAATCGCGTGGTTTTCGCGGAACGCGCGTTCGCCGGTGAACGAACCTTCCCGTATCGACGAATTTCCCCGAATTTCCCTGGAACTGAGCATCGGCCTAACGGTTCTCGCGGATTCTGCTGTCGAATCACACGTACAGAGAACCGTACAATGTCGTCTACAAGTTAGTGGACGCTCGCTTACTTCGAACGAAACGATTCTTACGACACGTACAGTATCGCGTATAAGTCGAAGAAAAGCGGCGTATTTGCAGTATTGTCGGTAATTCGGAAAACCGACATTTCCCAGAAACTACACAACAACGTAGTCTAATTTGTAACAGCGCAAACGATAGTCGACCACTGACGTTTGTGAACGAAGCCTAACTTCGACTCGATCCGCAGAGTAAAAGAGCGTGAATTTGCAACAACAGTTGATCTACTCGTCCGCATATTAATTTTATGCTTTCGAGTTGATTTTGCGAACGTTTCGCGAGTACAGAATGTCACATGGAATTTTCGCTTTTACATGGCACGTTATTGACTCGCAATTCCGAAGCAAAACCTACCAAGCTGGATGCTGCGCGCCTCTCCCGCAGTGCAAACTACGGCGAAGGCAAAAAAGGAGACGAGTGGGTGCCAGCGTCTCACGTGTGAAACGTGGGTACATCGTGAATGTATTGGTTATTTTCGCGGATGTTACACCTGTGACCAACGCAAGTAAATTTTAAGACACAGAATCGAAATTTTTCTGAGATGATCGTTTCTGTGCTATGATTTTCGTACGAGACTAGATCGTAGGAGAAAATAATTTTACTCTCCGCTTGTTTTTTAGCTTCTACAGCGAAGGTAGATTGAAATACCGCTATTCCGAATTACTTGCACCGTAACAAAATCGCTGCTTTACGTCATCCTTCGATCCAGCCAAAGTTCCAGGTACTCTTCGCTTTTCGCCATTGCCGGCAGTTTGACGTACAAAAGTTCATTAATTTCCCTGTGGTATTATACAATTTTATTTGTTCTCATGCTCTGTTGTAATTTTGTATTCGCCATAAACAAACTGATATGCCAAATATGCTTGCTCCATGTATTTGGACACCTGATGCAATCCAGTCAGAACATTGATATTTTTATCATGCTTTCAGCATCGTAATAGAAGACCGTGTTGCTCTACTGTTAATTCTGCACTTTTTCCCACAACTCGGATTCAACGTTCCACCAAATTCAAAGTGAAACTGCAACGATCAAGTTCCATGTTCGCCACCGATAAATCACGCTTCGTCAAAGTCAGAGAAACTTTTAGAACGCGATTGGAAACACATATTGCAATCGTTTTCTAAGATCTAAAACGTTGAACAGACTTAGAAAGTTGAACTCGGATATTTGTAGAAACAATTTTCATCTACCTTCGATTATTAACTTTCTATTTATATTAATTAATATGAATTATTCTTTTTACCAATATTTATCAATTTCACGCGGTTGCCCGAGATAATATCGCAGGCGAAAATTAAATTAGCGAATTTAATCGATGTATATTTCGTATATTTGCGATAATTTGCAAATTTCTTATATAACACTTATACACGGTGGCGTATATACCTTTAACGTTATGCAATTTCAACGTTCCACGTAAACGCTAATTTCGCATCACGATATCTACAGATTATTTCATAGCACGATAAATAAATCGCGCACGCTTTAAATAGACTGTAAGTAGCTTAAAGATAAACAACGAAGTCGGTCGAGAAATCGTATATTTACATTGTAAAAATCATCCTGCGCAAAACGAGCAAGTGTTCGGTGACTCGTGGACGGCAGTGTATGAAACGTTGCGGGATTACGCGAGTCTAACGTAACTCGCCTAGCTGACTCGAGAGAATCGTAGAAAGATCGTACGAGGCGGAATTTTATGCTCGCTATGCGTATGCAAATTGGCAGATACACGAGTCCTTCCTCTTTTTGCCGTTTGTCGAGACGCAGCATCGTGAAAGATGCACTTAAGCGCCTCTTCAATTAAATTTTACTTGCAGCAATTTCACTCGAGCAAGCTGAGCAACTTGAATTCGAATAATTCGCGGCTGCGAATTCGCGTCCACGTACAGTTGCTCGCGAAAATATTTGGCCATTTACAGAAACTTTTTGCGTACACAGGATGTGACGTAACATGTGGGCCCCACTTGCAGAGCTGATTGTGCATCTAAAAACAATGAAGAAACTTCGTACAAACATATGCTCTATTTTCTTCTTTCGAGATACAACGAATTTTGTAAGCAGAGCAAAACTATTGAAAATATTGAAACGATAAGATTCAGAGTGAGAGAAACTTCTCAACAATTTCGGGGAAACGCCAGGGACCATATCTTACGCTTTATAAATTCTTTCGATATTAATATCATTTTCTTAAATATTAAATTCCTATAATCTATCTTTTATATTATAAGCCTTTGTTTATTTCTATTTATTATACTATCACTGCGTATTTGTACGATTTTACGGATGGAAATTGTAACTGTATTAACAAAAACTGAGAAATTGATTAATCAGATAAACGTAAGAATTCAGAGAAAGTTAGTGGAACGAAAGAAATAACAACGAATGCACGACTTTAAATTCAATTTTGAAAGCGGTCATTAGACCTGCTAAGGTTTAGCGTTTTAAAACACAAGAAGCTCTTGCACCAAGAACGTAATTTCTCGATTAATTTCTCGGAAACATGCGCCCAAATCCCTTTCTCGTTTGCCAAATCCAAAGTTTGGATTTCTTTGTTTCGATGTTGGATGTTTCCGACCGAGAGCATCCAACGCACATACAGCCAACTTGTTCGAGATTTCGCAGTTCTTGTCATCTCCTTGCTAGACGACATATCAATAAATATCAATATTAATAATACAAATGATGTAAATCAATATTCATGATATAAATGTCAATGATATATATTCGTCCTATTTATTTTTTCATAAATAAATTGTAAATCTTCTCAAGAAAAGAAAGAAAAGTAAATGACTTACGTGTTGTAGGCAGATGAGATGTTAGCACGCTACCAGCAAACTGAAATGACAGGAAAGGGAAATCAGCCGACTAATTGTTAGCCAATAATGACACTGTATCTGAATAGAGGCGTCGTTGATATGTTAGTCGTGTTCACCAGCGGATGATTCCTTGTGTCGTTTCAGCTCGCACAGTACCAACGTCTCATCCGTCTGCTTGCATAACTTTTTTCGTAACGGAACCTTATAACGTAACGAAATATTGTAAATTTCTAATTTTTAAACGCATGAATGTAAAAATACATTCGTCCATCCGTCGCAGTATACGACATCGCGAATGACCAATAAACGTTTTAAGTTCCCCAAGAAAAATTCTAAAGAGGCGATACTTATACTACGATCATTTTTCTCCACTTTTTGATTTATATCGAATAATATCGTTGACTATATACGCGCATTATGGAAATCTCGTGAACGTTCAAAGCAAATTAGAAGATAAGACAGTGTTAATACCAGCACCTGTAATATCGGCAAGCCTGCTTGCTTATAGATTTGAATTCATCGCTGTAGGATTGTCGTGCGAGCGAGTGAACGCAAGTTGCGACTGGAAGTAGGTTAATAAAGTAATTACCTCTAATCGCACATTTCTTGGCAAAAAGTTGTTTCCTGGGAAAGTAAGAAATCCGTATAAATTAGTATAAAGAAACTTTGGGCCGCGTGTTTTGGTATGCGACTTACTCACGCCTAGACGTTTAATTACACGTTTCCGACGTTACATATTTGTTAGGAATCGTTCGATACGGATTTGCTCATTCGTCGTGAAATCTGGCGGCATTCACTGCCCTCGAGAGTAACCGAAAGATCTCGCAAGGAATAATCCAATTTGACGATGAAACTGCGCGCGTCTTTTTTATGTGGTTCGAAGGCTACGCTATAAAATTCGTAAAAATAATTACATAGTCGGACAGAAGTATTTTTGATTTGATATAATAATTATATATAGATGTGAGTTCTTTGAAGATGGAAGGAAGCAGTTCTAAATTAACGTTGTGCGATCCTTGTCTGAGGTCCTCGTGTTTCCAGAAATCTCTCAGATTACAGATTTCCCCCTCCAAGGTCGAAATATGTTGCTGAATTTTACAGGCGCGACACATCGATTTCTCTTAGGATATTTTGTTTCGGGAGACAGACTTCTTATTTTGACAGGGATCTTATTCTGCAAGAGATGAGAGAATTTATAATTTTATATTATTATGTATTTTTTTTTTTTTGATATTCTCATATTTCATAATATTAATAATATTGAATGAATAAATAAGTGTTAAAATTTGATATTTTAATATTTGAAATACATTTACACTGGAGAAATTTACAAATAGAGAATACAGCTACTTTAGGAATATTTTTAACGCATTAAGGATCAAGTAATAAAGCAATATCTAAAATTTGTGTCAAATGTCTTTCACACGATAAGTTTCACAGAATTGAGGTTAAAGTATCTTTCGAGCTAATCATTTTCCGACCCAAATACCTGTTTTCACAGAGAAGTGAAAAATGCATCGAACGTTGTATAGAAAAATGTATAGTTCCATTTAAAAAGATGAAAACGGCCTTGAAATCTTTTAAACGCCTCTGCTTTCGGATAAAACACACGCCAGACGTAATGCATACGTTGGAAACCATTTAATCTTTTCTAACGAAATTTGTATAAATTTTCATATAATTTCATAGTTTCCAATAATAATTATACAGACTTAATCTTCTCCCAGAATAGTAAATCACGAAAATAAAATTTTTAAAAATGTGTCAAGAATCATCAGTATGCGCTAGTTTACTAATAAAAGAAACACAGAAATACCACTGTGCGCTACAGGCGTGACGTATCATTACTTGAATAGTGTTCGTAAAACTATTCTGTTGTGTTTGTGTGTTTACAGCGGTTCAAGCAGCGTCGAAAACACTCATGGATTCCCTAAACGAGATCTATGAAAGCCAATGGACAGGACATGATCTTTTGTACGTGCAGGCTCAAAATTTAGACATGTTGTGGCAGGACTTCACCCATAAGCTTGCTGATCAGGTTCTCGTGCCTCTCAACACATATCAGAGCCAATTCCCAGAGATGAGGGTACGTATGTCTCATGTAACAGTGAATAAACATATTGTCGTACGAAAATAAATTGGTATAATCGATATAACTTTGTCTGACTACTGTCTTAGAATAAGGTTAGGATTTTAAAATGGAATATCAATTGACGTGAAATGTTCTGCGCGCAATTTTTGTTTCTATTTCGTGCTATAGGAAATAATAATATGATTATAGGATGCGAATTATCGTGATATATATCTGTTGCAGAAAAAGATTGACAAGCGTGGACGGAAGCTAGTAGATTATGACAGTCAAAGACACAATTTCCAATCGCTACAGTGTAATCCAAGGAAACGGGACGAGCTGAAAGTTTCTCGAGGAAAAGAGTTACTGGAGGAGGCTAAGCGTACATACGAGCAACTAAATTCCGAACTTCATGACGAGCTACCAGCTTTGTACGATTCGCGTGTTCTCTTCCTCGTTACTAATTTACAAACGCTCTTCGCCGCTGAACAAGTGTTCCACACTGAAAGTGCTAAGGTATATTTAACGACCACATTTCTTTTGCATATATTTCTATGCACAAATTGTATTTTATTTTCATTAATTTCATCAGTTTCGTTATATTAATGGTTCTATATCTATTACACTATATAGAGGAAAATATACGACCAAGCAATATACATATACCGATTTATTGTTACATTAATTTAGTTGGAAAAGAGATCATTTTTGTTTGCCGATTAAATATCCCTATTTGTTAATTAAAAAACGTATTCTCTTGAAATTATAGAAATAATAGAAAGATTCTTTTATTGATAACTTTTATCTGGTGATGTAAAATATACGATATTTATTCTTCTTATTGTACGATAGATATAGACGTGAAAAGCCACTGATACAGTATTTAACATATAATATATAATATACGATATCTGTATTATGTATAAATTTGGAATATTTAATACTTGTATATCTGATAATTATATGATATTTTTATGAAGTATACAATTTATATATCATACACTTATGTCCCAGGTGTATTCTGAGCTAGAGGCAATCGTCGATAAATTAGCCAACGAAAGCCAGAGAGGATCATACACGCTGAAGAAGAGTACAGAACCACAATCTCCAAAATCGCCTAACGCCAATTCTGCGTAAGTAAACGATTGAAGACAGCAAGATGTTTATTTCCACGTATACCGTAAACAATGGATTAAGCAAATTTTACTTGTTTCAGTTTAATAATCAATACACAACCAGCTCAGAACAACATTTCACCAGGTAAATACGCATACGGCATCTCTACATACGTCTTTTGTGCATTTGAATCGTTTGTGTACTAATATTTTGTGCATGAGTGTAACGTAGTTATGCCACATAAGACGTTCCCACAGACATAATTATGTGGCTCAATGTTTAGTTTTGAGTGAGCTTTGTTGCATGTTACAGCCGTGGATGAGTCTGCTCCAGAAGCAAGAAACACATCACCGACTACTCAATTAAATGGCAATGCTAACAGCAATGCTAACAGCAATGCTAACAGCAATGCTAACAGCAATGATAATTCTCTCAATAATCAGGATGCATCTCCGCAAAACACAGTTGTGGCCTCTAAGCGAGTAGAAGAGCTGTACGATATTCCAGTTGGTAAGTATGTAACGTGGGAGTAAATGTCATCGGTTACGTGCTTCTTAGCGTCTCTAAAGATGAACGTTCATACACCGATGATTGAGGCTTTTCGTCGAAATGGTTTGCGAGATAAAAATGCCTGTATACGAGTAATCAAGGAATATTTTTGGAATATATTACTAAACTAATCTTGACTAAGTCTGCATTCTCCGCAGTACAATTTGGAGAGCGTTTTATACATATTCGGTTAAAAGCTATATTATTGCCTAAATATAATGATATATTATATAATGTATGCATAAATATTCTTTAACGTGTATTTATAGTTTTTCGATACGTACTTGTACAAGCACGTATTTATAAGATGCATATACTTTTTAAGTAAAGGTTGAGATTCGTTCGAGTCCAAAGATAGCACGATTTTTCAAATTATATGTTAAAGTACGTAATATGTAACAAGTGTACATGCAAAATTGTCCTACTGTGTCGATAGAAGTATGCTGCCTGCCCATTGTGCATGGATGTTGTTGAAACGATGAAACGAAATTTATCTATTAATTTTGGCCTTGTTATGTATCAAAATTTCTCGATGAAAGATTTTAGTAATTGAATTTGGTTTTGCACATAATCAATGAAAGTTAAAGTTTAAATAGAACTATATCACAGGTCCATGACTAATGAGGCGGATTCAATTATTTTAGACGTGGAATATGAAAATGGTACCAATTTCTCTCTAGGGGCAACAACTGACAACTTGCCACCTGGTGTTTTGTACAGAGTCAAGGCTACTTACAAATATAGACGCGAAGACGTGGATGAATTGTCATTTGATGTCGGTGATATTATTCGTGTGGTAGAGTATGATGATCCAGAAGAACAGGTTTGTATTCTCATAGTAATTCATTTGATATCTTTATATATACAAATATGATACAACATAATTCTCATTATCATGTTAATGATAGTAACAATACTAACAGTAACACTGAAAATAATGAAAAGTGTAACGAATCTTTTTATTACCCTTAGGAACAAGGTTGGTTAATGGGCATCAAAGAAGATACTAATGAAAAGGGTATGTTCCCAGCAAATTTCACAAAACCACTGTGAAAGCTTTACTAAATTCGTCTATTACACTCCAATGCTCACTGAAACGGCGTATTCTATTTTGAGGATAGTTACAATATTCAAAGTGAGAATCACACAGTCATCTGAGGTATTATACGTATGAAAGAAATAAATAATAAATACACAATGAGGGGCAATGGGAAGGGGAAAGGGGTGTGATGAGATAGTTATGCTGGAGGGTACTGTGGAAAATTAAGCACCCCAAAGTGCCTTAACCCAGCCACTGTCTGTGCCAACATTCATTGTTTGTAATATGGGATTTTTCTCCCATATCCCATGTATGAATACACATCATTAATAATCAAATGAAATATTTAAGTAATTAAATAATATATTGTAATACATCACGCAGTACTATAATATAAAACTTATATATTAAATTAATATTATTTTATGAAAGTGTACATAGAATTATACATTTTAAGAATATTTTATGGAATAACTTTGTGGCCACTGAAATTATCAGTAAGAACTAATTATAATGTTTAAGACACCTCTATAATGCCCTCTTTTGGCAGCCAGTTATCAAACTTTAAAAATCCAATTATCTATCTGCATTCTTATATTAAGATTTTATTTACTTTGTGACGAAAAATTAGGACTCGACCCGGATAACGGTATTAACATAGATAACATGCCAAACTTTCAACGCAATTCAATAGCATAGAACGAAATAATACAACTAATACATCCTTACTTCAATACATTGCTACATAAGAGCAAAATATTATAATATTTAAATCAATGAGAGCATTAGAATAATAAAATTTTCTACATAATTCTATTGAGAGGAGTATTATAAGTTCTACTAATGACACATATTTGAAGATTCGTTCTTAAAAATTTATTTATATTTTTTATTATATTATATATATTTGTTCTATAACTAAGTATCTTTCTCTGGTATACATACATAGAACATCGAATGGCGATGATCAATTAAATTACTATTACTGCCCTTACATCCACTGTAGCGAGGATAGAACTAGTGGTCCAAGGAAAACAATTTGTAGTGCTAATTAATACTCGTTAAATAGATTTATTAAGAAAATTTTACATCAAACTTTATGTAACAAATAGAGTTATAATAATAGATGATTACGAAGTAGTGCGAGGAGATTACTGATTTCAGCTTCCATTAAGTTGTGTGTCTTTTTATTTTACTGTATTGATCTGAGACATACAGAACACAGGAAAGTTGGATTGTTTATAAATGAAAAGTTTTATGGTTGACCGATTGATCCATTGTCACACTAATTATTAATCCCATGTACAAATTCAAACTGTGGACAAGTATGTTAATGCGTCATATATTACAGGTGCATATTAAGAAAATATGTTGACCATATGTTACAATTACGTAGTTATGATAATCATAATGATAGGGAACGGACGTATATTTATATTCTACGAAGAGGACCAACAGAAAAAGTAATTGAAAAGCAAAAAAATATTTAAATAATAATAATAACAAAAACAATAGCACCAGTATATTCTGTTTTTAAGTATGTATAACTAGAATCTAGTAATTTATACGGAAATTCCATATGAATTTCCAACTCATATCAAGAATATAATAAATTTAATATACAAAAAAATTGATAGCTATACATTGTAATACGACACATCATGCTTCACTTTAATATTACTCTTGCAATTATGATATAATTTGAATAAGTACACAAGTACATTCCATTGAACTACATACAAATAAATATTTAGTAAACAAAATTTTTCTTTCAAGAAAAAGCAATATAAAATTTTAATATGTAATCTGTTATCATTGAAATTGTTGTATCACATTTAATATATGATTTAAAAGTGAAGTGTGATAAGTGTTTGTTCTAAATTTAAATTAATCTATTTTGTTCATTTCTAAGTATACTTTGCAATAATTAAAAAAGAAATATCCATAATATGTATTGCGAACGTGCCAAAATGTTATATATGCGACTGTTAGATTAAAATTGAACTCAAGTTTTGATATTACCTAGAACAGGTACAGACATTGAAAACGCGAATATTTATAAAATATATTGAAAGATATATGCGTTTCAGCAATAATACGAATAATACTAATTGTTCGGCAGTAGGTCTATTAATATTACTAATATGATAAATTATTTATTTCATTGGAAAATTAAACAAATGCATTTAATTAACTTAAAGAAGATAAGTGATATATTGTTCTTTTTTACTTTTCGGTAAAAACAATGTACATTACAAATTTTCCGACAATATTATACATAATGTAAATGATGTATTAATTAATTATAACGTGATATCATAAAATAATTGCACTTAATACTTCATTTTAATATACTTCTGTAGAGTAAGGTCATTATTACAAATAATTTCAAAAATAGATTATACAACGAAATGTGCTTGAAAGTAATAATTATGTCTACTTATCTTCTTTATGTTGTATTTATTTATTAATGTAACATAAGAGCATCAATTGTTAATATTAATTAGAATTTTGAATGCACCCAAGTAATAATATTGAGGTTTAAAATTTAGTGTAGCAGTGGAGCAATCAATTGTTATATCATTTGTCATTTTTATGTCTTGTTGTTTATTTTACTGAATCAATTAGTCATATCTTTATAACCTTAATATAAACTATAATGCGTATATATATATGTATATATATAATATATATATATACATTTATCGCTTTAATTGTCCTTTTCAATTGAAGACGATTATAATAAATGATTACTGGTTTGTAACATAAGTGTTTATGATTCAAATATGTGTTCTGTTTAATACTCAACCTTAAAATAAACCTTTTCCTTATATTAATTTATTAAAATTATCTCCTGTGAAATATTAAAAATTTATATTTTTCTTTAATATATAATTTCATGATGTAAGTAAACCATTGGATTTGAATGACAAAAATTAAAATTAAAAATGTAACTAAAACAGGAATTTATTTGAAGATAAAAAATGTCACGATTTCATGAGCAAAGATATAAACGATGGAGTGATCCTAATTTACATAAACCTTGTTTCTACTGCACACCAACATCAGAAGAAGAAGTATCTCTGTGTGCATCGCAGTTGTTATCGCCTGTACTTTCAATAACACACCAATGTAAACCTTTTGAAAGAACCTCATCACATTATGGTTTATGTGATAAGCAGAATAATGGAAGAACGAAGCCTCTAAGTTTTTACGAATCACAAAGTCTTAAGGCAATATTTTAATATCTTTATTTGTAAGATAAAAAAGCTTATGATATATTGATATATATTACTTATAGAAATTGAATTGTTTGAAATGTCAAGAATTTGAAAAAATACGAGGAAATTTAGAATTACATTTAGCAGAAACTCAAATAGAAGAGGCTTTAGCTGAAGATAGACAAACAACTCTAATGCGGCATTTAAATTTAAGTATTACTGCTCTTGAAGCTCTTGCTCAATATGGACAATCTTTGCAAGTATCTCAATTAACTGCATGTAGGGTGCTCGAGATTAGTCATCTACTTGCATTTCCTCAATCTTACTCTATGAATTCTGAACCTAGTACTGTAAATTTAACAATGCATCTCCAACAGGTATAGCGATTACTTCAATTATCATATATGCATAAAATAGAAGATTAAACATTGTGACCATTATTTATATATGATCATCCAAATGAGACAATTCAAAGAATAATTTTTATTTTTTTTATAGTTAATATTAACTGTGTCTTAACAAAAAATAATGTATATATATATATATATATATTATGTACTTAGTATTATACATCTTTGGGTATTTCTTAGTTAATCATTCATATATAATTCCATACATGTAGTTTAATTATTTTAAAAGTTTTAAATATATGGTACATACTAGTTGCAAGTGCAGAAAAAAAATAAATTGATGATCCTACAAGATTTGATGGAACAGTGTTCAAAATACATAGTACTTCCAAAGCATTTTAATGATCTGATGAATAATAACTGTATAAGGAAAAAGGACTTTTACAAAGCAACAAAAAACTTCAAAAACTTTCTTAGTAATTCTATATTATCCATATCACAAATAGAGAAACTACATCAACAATACAATATTATTCTCAGCAATTATCAACGGAGTAGATGTATGTTAGACTTGGAATTACCAAAACTGATAAACATGTATGGCATAAACAAGAGTAAATAGTTTATTTACAAAAATGTTTAAAAAGATTCCATAAGTAGTAAACAATATTGCAGGCGTTTAATGGCACTTTGCGAAGGCTTTGAAAAAATTACAAAAGTTTTTGACAACAAGGATGGCGATAATGAAATTGTAGCGTTATTTAAATTAATTGGAGAAAAACTTTATATAAAGGATTCAAATACAGGTAATAGAAATATGATAAGAACATAATATAGTATTTGTGTTCGTCATAATTTTATTTTCATATTTAATAGTAGCAATATCCCATGTCGAAGATTCATCCAAACCCAAATTGTGCCAAAAATGTAAAATAAACTATGTACATGAGAAATAAATAAAAAAATAGATGACTTATTCTTCTATTGCTTTTGGTTCTCTGACTAAGAAATATATATATGTATACATTATATGTATATAATGATATAGAGAAATTGTACATTTCATGAAACCTTATACTATGACACTAATCCTATTACTATATGTATAACTGATAACTATAAATTTAAGTTGTAGGATTTTAATGTTTATTATTTTAAGTATCGCATTCTTTTGTATTATATATTGCATTTATATATAATTTGCATTTATTTTTGTACCTCTCATTTATTTAAATTTTGAGACTATCCACATTTAGTGAGAAAAACTTTATAATTCATTATTATTTTATTTAAATGGTTATTAGTTAAACAGAAAAACATTTATTTTTAACTCATAATTTTCCAGATAGAAATAAAATTAAAATATTTAAAACTTACCATTCCTAAATTGTACAGTGTAGACTGTGTAGACGAATTATACCAGTTGTTAATATTTACATAGGAACATACTGCTTTTTCTAAACAGGAACATTTTTTATAACAATAAAAAAATTTGAAAGTTTTTTCATTCATTATAAATTGAGAAAGAACAATGCAATAACTAAATAAATAAGATGTAACAGACTATAAGATATTAGCTTGTTGCTTATAGATAATGATAATAATATACTAAATTTGTATTTTGAACGAAACAGTATCTTACGCGCCATCTAACGTTAGAGACTTCACTTTAAGGTTATTTAAATAAAAATCTAAATTATCGGAAAGATAGAATCGCATTTGATACAATATTACTAAAATTTCATTTATTTTATATCCCATTTGTATACAAATAAGGAACACAGCTATAAATATATATAATTGTTGACATTTTGTAAGTATCTCTAAGTATCTTTTTAGTGAACAAAAATAATTAGAAAATTTGTTATATTACGAATATATACAGTTAAATACAAATATTCATACGTTTAGAATACGTTTGTGGAGTATATACTTTATTATTCGTAGAAACTACTATATACGTTACAAAAGTCAATATCTATAAGATTCGGCTCGTATCTTATATGTATTATAAAATTATCGATAGAAATTTTTAAATTCCAAGAACGAAACTATGCTCGATAAAAACGACGCGATTATCGGATTAATCCACGATCGATTGCACAATAATTTCAGCGGTACGTTTTCAGTCAACAATCGAGACGTATTGTTTGGTGTACAAAGTGCATTCACACGAGATACTCTTTCACGAAAGTAAGTACATATAGCGACATCGTATACTTTTCGATGACGGGGATGAATAAATGGAAAATCGCGAGATTCGTTTCGAACGCACCGGCGACACGAGGGGGGCCGGCGTGAAAAAACGAAAGGGCAAGAACAGTGGCGAAATATACGGGAGGAAGAAAGAAGTAAGGATTCGGGGGTGACCCGGTAGTAGAAAAGGAGAAGAGGCGGCGTGATAAAGAGGGAAGAAGATAGAGAGAGGGAGTGCGCGCGTGATCTCTCGGTGGCCGTGTCGCTGCGAATCGTCAGAATCGGTCGGTTGTACAGAGACGAGTATAACCTATATCCTGAACGCGGCGCTGTTCCATTCTCCGTGCCTCCTCCCTGGCGGATGGCGGCCGCACCTCCTCCTTCTCGTCGATTTTAATCTCGTTAGCGAACACGTGCGCGCCCCGCGCCTACAGACCACTATACGACGACCTACCGTATCGGGGCTTCGCCAATCTGGTTTTGTCTAACAGGATTCTCGAGCGACCGAGGGTTGATAAAAGGCTGCGTACCGAGCGGGCGCGGCGCGAATCGCAGGAGGAGTTGCTCCGCTCGAGGTGTGGGCGCTCGTGCAGCACAGGCAATAACAGCAGACGACCTCGTCATCGTCTTCTATTCTGTCGTCCTCGGTTCGTTGTTTCCGTCTACGTTACCTCTCGTAATCGCGTTCGCTCGTTTGGCATACGTTCGCGTATAGGTTGCGTGTGTGCGCGCACACGGTGCATATTCAGTGTGAATCTATCTCGTCGCGTGTGCGGTACAGAAAGAGTACCCTAAAGAGAGAGAAAGAAAGAGAGAGAAAGAGAGAGTGAGAGAGAGAAAGGAAGAAAAAGAAAGAGAGAGAGGGAGTGAGAGAGTGTGTGAATCGAAGAAAGACAGAGAGATAGGGTAGGAGAACGAAACGAAACAGAGAGGGGGTGAGAGAGAGAAAGAGTGTGAGAAGGAGATAGAGCGCCGGTGGGTTACCACACCCAACCGCGCCGGGGACCGAGTGAACGAGTGAACGAGCCGTACGAGAGCTCTCTCGCGAGTAGTACGCGGGTACAGCGGGGGACCCAGGGACCGACGGTCGAGATTCGACGGAGTACAGTCGGGACTCTCTAGATCTCGATCCAACGGACCTCGCTCTCGCGAAAATCCTCTCTCGCTCTCGTCTCACCAGAATTGTCGAAATCGCGCTGCGAGCAAAGTGCGCGCGTGTGTCTCCCCCGCTTCCTCGACGTCTCTCGCGAATGCGTTTCACGTTTCGTCGCAGCAGAACGTGCGTGCGTGAACAAAGAATAAGGAGAGAAAAGACCGAGAAGGAGGGACACATCAAGCAAAGGAAAAGAGAATAGGAAGAGGTAGATGGGTCTCGGTTCTAGAGAGAATCGAGGAAGAGAAGGTTGAAAAAAGGAAAAGAGGCAGATAGAGAGAAGCTACCGGCCGAGGTTCGTGCGTGTGCGTACATGTGTTGATGTGTCGCTGGCGTCGTCGAGCCCTAGCAGGAGTGCTCCGTCGCCGCGTGTGCCGACGTCGTTGAGAATACGGGGATTCCGGAGACACGTTCGTCGGATCTACGTTTACGTCTAGTCGCTGCCTATCTCCGTGCACGTTGTCGTCGTTGTCACCGACGTCGTCGCCGTCGTCGTCGTCGCCGTGGACAAGTGGTGGTGAATCGTGCTAGTGGCGGTAGTAGTGGTGGTGCGGACGATCGGGAAAGATTTGATCGGCTTGGCCAGGACGAGAGGGAAGGAAGAAGAGAAGGAAACCACGAGGACGGCGACGAGACGTCGTCGCTCGTTCGCGGTGGCAAGGTAATATCGGCCCGACGACGATACCGTGCCGTCGAGCCCGCTGCTGTCTACGACGAACCTCGCCGCCGCTCGGCAATCGCTCGCCACCACCGCAAATCGCTCGTTCCCTCTCTCCCTTCCTCCCTCCCTCTCCTCCCTCCTCCTCCTTTTCCTCCTCCTCCTCGTCCTCTTCCTCCTCATTTTTCTCCTCTCTTCCTCCTCCATCCGTCGAGGATCCTGCCGTCCTGAGCTATGGCGTGCTGCCTGTCGGAAGAGGCGAGGGAGCAGAAACGAATTAATCAGGAGATCGAGCGGCAACTCCGAAAGGATAAACGAGATGCCAGGCGGGAACTTAAGCTGCTACTTTTGGGTGAGTTTAATTTTTCCTCTACGATACTTCATAATCTCTATCATTTTTGTCTTTACGTGTGATTGGTAACCGTAAACCGTAAACCGTAGCTCGTAAACCGTCCTTATCCTGCGTATTTCGGTAATTCGTCTAGCGTTCCGTATTCGATGCGTTCTCTTTTGTACGATAACTACGCCGCGTCGTGCTGCGCCGCGACGTGCCGTGTCGTGCCGTGCCGTGCCGTGCAGTACCGTTCCGTTCCATTCCGGTCTGTTCTCTCTGTCGCGTTTCGACCCGTGGCTGCCGTACCGTCGATCGAATTATCGGGTGTGCCGTCTTTTTCTTTTCACCATCGATACGTTCGCGTTCACCGTGTTTCCTCGCTTCATTCACCGCTTCTCTGGCAAATGTCATGCGGTTCTCTCGGCCGGATCGCCGTTTCTGTCCTGCCCAAGATCGACCACCGATCGGAGAGCACGAGTGTAGTTGACCCAGTCTAGCCGGCGTGCGCTTGACAGCTCTCGACCATAGTCGCTACACGATACTCTGGGGCTTTTCTGCCGGTCGACTATTGTACGCGGCTTTTCCGAAATTGTGACAAATTTTATTTCCTTTGAATTCGCTTTATTTAACGAGTTAAGGCGTTGATTGTCACATATATGTATTTTGCCCTGGGAGTGGCGATAGATTGAAATATACCGTAACATTTCATTTTTGCAAAATATCGTATTGTACCTGCGCAGTTTTTTCTGACAATGTTATCTACATTACTCACATTGTCGACAATTTTTTAGTTCATGAAATGTAATTTATTTTAGTCATTTTAAAAAGTGTAGTAAAACGTCGGTGACCAATGAACACCGACCGTGGCAGTCAACGTGTTACCGATTAAAACAGGGTAAATCGTTCCTGCTCGCTGTCGATGTCGAACTTTCGTCGCGAGCCCTCTAGGTTATCTCGCGTTGCTTAACGTTGCTGCCATTGTATATACACGTACTTGCTTACGATCACGCACAGATTTCTCGAGCTCGGCGGCATGTAAAGAGACGCGAACGTTTTTAGAAAATTGCCAAGATATTAAAAGCCGTTTTATTATTATCGCTGCTTTGTGGGCTGCCGATTGAGCAAATCGATTTTCCCATACGAGAAATTATCGTGGATATGATTTTTATAACGTTCTCGTTGCACGCTGCGCCGCGCTGCTTTAATGAAATTATCAGATTAGCAGGAATGAAGTGGAAGTAGCAACATTTTTTTTTCTTTTTTTTTTACCACGATGGAAATTAATTCGATGCGGTGTTTCGCCGGTTATCCCCGCTATCAGTAAACGAATTCTTCCGATAGGCAGGAGGCGAACCGATTCTAAAATTAGTACAGTTATCGAGAGGTTCGTGCTGATCTTACGTGTACTCCTATATCTTATTCATCTACGCGCTTGTATAGATTTTTCACTCCATGGTAATTTCAACCTTGTTTAATCTAATGTGAAGCTTGTAATGTAATTTGTATCTTATAAATCTATCTTCTATTTCTAAGTTACATACAGTGCCGTGAAAAAGATCTCCAATTTTTCGTTTTATATTCCGCAAACGATGTTCGAACAAATTTTAGCTAATATTGGATATAAGATCGTGACATATTTTTTTTGATACAGTGATACGATATTAGTTAAAATTCGTTAAAACGTCGCTTTTTTGATATAATGCGAAAATTTATTTCGTAAACTGTACGCCACTGTATACGAAATTTGCATCGTAAGTAATAATTCTATTGTTCTTGTTTATCTCGATGCCCATGCAATCTGAGCATACTGAAATAGTACACTTACAGGAATCTTACACATCATTATACTATTTGTGAAAACAAGAAATGGAATTCGTAAAATGTTATCTAAATTAGATATGAGCATAGTTGAATATAGCTACTACTGAATCGTCTATAGTCCAAGCTCTTCGCCAGTAAGTCACGAGCCACTTACACGAGCAATACTTATAATTAGTTTGTATTGTATCAGACATATTTTCCATTGTGAATTACATATAATGCAGTGGCGAGCATATAAATAGGGAAGGTTCTTATATCAAATGCAGTCCACTTACGATTAGCTTGTAATTTGAGACTCGACATAAAAATTTGGGGGCTGTTCTTTATTTCCAGTGCTTCAAAATACATGTATTTTTAAATTCTATATTATAGGAAGAAATGGAAATAGAATTTTTTGTAATATGAGTAGTTGGATTTACAATGTAATTAATTTATACGCTCGCCGCAGTATATGATGTGTTTATACGTATTTAACAGAACAAGACGAGAATGGATACTCAATTCTTTTAAATATATCGATATTGTGCAACGATCTAATGATTAACATTTCAATACTCTTTCGTACATTAGTTTGGTCGAAATGCATATGTTCTATGTGCATGGGTCCCATAGTGCGGATAGAATGTCTATGTCCTATTTCGTTTCTTCTTATTTTCTAAATTAATATAAAAATTCTTGAATATATATATATTCCATACAAAACAAAATTCGAACAAATTCTACATCCATTGGGTGTATTTTTGAATACATACAACAAAAGATTTTTTTTAATTTCAACAATAATTTAATAGTAAAAAAATAGGTAAAGTGTAATACTTAACAGGTGCAATATTTTGTTTATTTAATATATTTGATATATTTTCGAGCGACGAAGAATCGCAAATTGAGATGTACAAGATATTTCACATATTTAACACGGTAATACAATTTTAATTTAATTAATGCTGATAAATGCTGATTTATCATTGAAATATTTTGTTCTTTATGAGGATTCTTGTGAATTTAAATGTATATATTTAACTTTGGAATTTCTAAATACATACTCTGATGCGCTACAGAGTTTTGCGAGATGAATAGTTTTATATTTCTTGCTATTAATGTATATTAGCGTATACATTTTTCGTGAATTAAGTCATTGGTTTATTTTACCTCAATTTTTAATCATTTTACTTAGGTTGGAAATGGTAGATATTTGTTTTTACGGTGTAGCACGTGCAATTTCTAATTATTTACTACTTATACTATACTAATAATTTCTAATTATTCACTACTTTGGAAATTGTAAAGAAGAATGAAGATAAACATAAAAGAATATATTCCGATAAAAATAACTACATAATATGGCTTTAAAGTTAACGTCTCTAAAAACATGTTATTTTCTCAAATATAGGGTAAACGCGAAAAATTAACATTTTTAAATAAGAGAATACTTTTGATATTACTGTTTTTGTAAAAAAAAACGCTATATAAATAATGCACCGAGACTTTTATATAGTATGTTGTTTATATCTAATAAGAAAGTTTTTGAAGCATCAAATATTTTACGAATGCATAAAATAATTAAACGACGCGATTAATTAAAAGCGTCGCAATTATCTTGATGATTTGATAGTTCATCATATTTTACTCATTGTATACTTCTACAAATAGAATCGATAATTAATTTTCCTCGCATAATTATTCGGACGACAATGTAGTAGAAGCCGAACATCGAGGAATGTGCTATTTCTGTTACAAGACTTCGGATATCTCAGTGTGTTTCACAATCTTTTAAATATAAATGAAAACTAAGGGGGAAAAATTAGGAATGTCCACTGATAGCTCGACTTTACGGTATACGTATATCGGACTTTATCGATAACGGCTGAAAATACACATTTTAATTACACAGCAGTATATAATAGGTCGATTAATAATAATTACAAAGTAGAAATGTCCACCAAAGATAATGTTAAAAATTTGGTGTGGTGTATTAAAAATAAGAATTTATCTAGATTAGAAAAGGACAGAATATCGTTGCTTCTTTCATTTTGTAATATCTCTTACTATTGTAAATTTAAATTACGTGAGATATACTAAGGCTATATGTACAGCAGGTGAATGGGAAACGAAATACCTGAATATTAATAACGTGGGCGGATGTTTCTTATTATAATAATGAAAATCGATATTTTCTTGTCTCAGTGCTCTGCTTATAGTCAGGTTGAAAAAAATTAAAATAATGTAAACCAGTTATATGTTTGCTCATAATTTGTTTTATTACCTAATTTATCATAACCATGTGTTGTAATAAATTATGATTTGATGAGTGAATAATATCGTTCACTCACCAAAGCAAGACAGTGAAATAATGCCACTAAAATTAAACAACATTAGCAAAAGAGATGGGCAAAGAAATTTCAGAAATCAATAAAAGCAAAATTACAAAAATTACAAGTTTTGTTTTATCAAGATATAAACGAATGACGTTGGAATATAAACACTTTATGGAAGTCTAGCACGCAAATTAAAAAGTCATAAAAAATTCCATGAATTTAAAAACGGGTAGTATTTATTATAGAGCTATGAATACTTCAATTTTTTTCAAACGTCATAAAATTGTAGGATTTATATGGAAGTGAGGAGAAAGCATTAAGGAAACGTCTGAAATTCCTTTTTATAAGCAGCGCTAAAAAACACAATTCAATATCAATTATATTCAATAATTATAAACTAAAATTCAATAATTTTCAATAACATAATTTTTCAAAAGGAAATTTTACGATTAAGTAACGTTGTCTCTTAATTG